TCATTTTCATATTCTTTTTCCTTAAAGATTATTACAAGATATTGAATATAGTTCCCTGTGCTATACAGAAATTTATTTTTTAATCTGATGATAGTTTTTTGTATTTTATTTATTTATTTATGATTGTAGTTTTTTTTTTAATACAATGCACTTTTAGGAACTGCTCAGTGAGCTTACTTCCAAAGCACGTATAAACAACTGATTCAAAGTCATCTAAATTTCACAGTAACCACTGTTTCATGAGTTGTATAATTATCTGAACAATGTTTCAAAAGCATTTGAAACAACAGAAAGAGAGGAATTCTTTAATGAGTGAAACAGCAAAGCAAACTATCCGTTTTAGGAGCAGAATAACTCTTTTAACCTTCAATCTAGCTGAGAAGCATTATACTCCTTGGAAGCTGCCTGTTATTTAAAAGAGATACGTACTTCTGATCTAATTTTTCTCCTAAGTGAGGTTCTTTCATAACCCTCTCAGTTGACTGGGAGGTTTTTCACTCATTGGGGATTAGAATGAGAGAAAAATCTTTCTTAACTTCTCTTTGGCCAGAAGACCTCCCTCTCTGCAGGATTTATTAGGTCTCTTCCTTTGAGAGTTGCTGGCGCTTTAACTTCCCTTCATCCAGGCTCCTAAATGGAGAGATTGCATAATTCACATGTCACCATTATCACCAGAAGATACCTCCTAGGCTCTACAGGATCAAAGTATAGGTCCCTGCCTGTTCTTTGGGAACTAACACTTTGGGTGCGGTGCACACAGGCACTTAAAGAGCCAGCCAAATCGTATGGGCAACAAGTCGGGGTAAAGGCAGTGGGTACAACTGCTTGGGTGGAGGAGTGGGGAGAGGGCAAGAGTGGGCTAGGTTTGCTAGGTCTTGAAAGACTGATGGCTAGAGAGGGTAGAGGGAGTTTAGTTGCGGGGTGGGGGTGGGGAGGTTAGAAAATGCTGGGGTTGTTCCTAGTGCTGTAGGTAATACAGTGTTCGGAAGGAGGCAAGATAGGCTGTGTGGACGGAGCCACTTAAGACCAACTTCCACCGCAAACCATTCCTTCACTCAAAAATCATTTCATTTCGGTACCCATGTGTCAGGCACCGTGTTTGGTCACAAGGGTTACAGTGATGAAGGCGACACAAGGCCCTTAAGTGGGAATGAGTGATGGGTGTGAAAGAGACAGACGTGAGGGCCGGTGTGGCTGAAGCACGGGGTCAAAGGGGCGGGAAAACAGAGGCCAGGGCCGGCGGGCAGGCGGGGCTGGGTCATGCAGGGCCCTGCAGGCCGTGGTGTGGTTAGGAGTTTGGGTTTTATTCTGAGGGCAGCGACATGACGTTTCATTCATTCTGCCACAGCCTTAGGAACTCTGCAGTCTTATCGCAGTTGTACAGACGAGGACGATCAGGGCGGGGTTAAGTAATTTGTTCCACGTCAGC